CCAAGGCTCACTGATGTCTGGAAAGGAGCTGCAGCGTGAAAAATCTTCAGACATCCCATCAAGAAGCTCCTCTTCCCTGGTATCTACCAGCAGTAGGCCCTGCAAGCAGAAGATTCCCCTGCCGCTTTTTCTTTCACTGCCGGGACCGAGGTCGCCCCTGCCGCTGACAAGGGGTCGAGGTGAACGGGCCCCTCCTCCTAAGCTTCCATGCTTAGCTGCTGCCAAAAACCCAGGCACCTTTGTTAACATAGTTATGGCTCTCTCTCTCAGAACTAGCCCATTTAGCTCCAGGTTCCTTAGTGCGCCCGACGCACTTGCACAGCATTTAAGAGCCTTCCACAACTGCAAGGTCACATGTTTATTTCTTATCGCAGGAACACAACCTCTGTAAACTTTATTTCTGTCAGAACCTGTCTCACCAAGCCATGGCTGGAAGAATCTCTGGATACAGATCAGGGGCAGAGGGTCCTCAGGAGCGGCGTCCAGTCCACCCCGCGGAGGCGGTCGGCGTTGAAGTCCAGCAGGCCCTCCCGCAGGGAGGCGCGCACGGCGGGCAGAGGCACCAAATCCTGCAGCGCGCACAGGTCCTCACAGCGCCAGAAGAAGTCGGCCGCGCTGTCGCGGCGCAGCTTCACCGAGTGATCATGGCCCGAGCGCGGCCTCGGGGACGTTGGCGGCAGATACGATGTCCACACCCGCCTGGGGGCCACGGCTCGCCTCCCGGCCCCTCGGGCGCCCATCGCCCGGCGGCTGTGGACCCGCAGCCCGCGCAGGACCGGCGTCGCAGCCCAGCTAGGCCAGCCCCTCCATGCCGCGCTCCCGCGCGGCCTCCCACCCGCAACGCCGGCCGTTGGCGCCAACCTCATCGGCCTCCGCACCGCGGGCCAGTATATTGTTTTTTGTGTTTTTTGGTCACAATTTTGTACAGCCATCTCCAGAACACTTCACTGTGCAAAACTGAAACTCTGTACCCATTAAACAACTATTTTTTCCAAATAATATTTGAAATTGCCTTTTTAAAAAATTGAAGTATAGTTAATTTACAATGTTGTGTTAGTTTCAAGTATAGCGGAGTGATTCAGTTTTATGTGTGAGTGTATGCATATATTCTTTTTCATATTCTTTAAACAACTCTTCATTCTCTCCTTCGCTCAGGCCCTGGAAACCACCATTCTATTTTCTATCTCTAAGAATTTGTCTGTTCTAGATACCTTATGTAGGTGGAATTATATAGCATTTGTCTTTTTGCAACTGGCTTATTTCACTTAGCATAATGTCCTCAAGGTTCATCCATATTGTAGCATGTGTCAGAATTTCATTCCTTTTAAGGATGAATACTATTCTATTATATGTATATACCACATTTTGTTTATTCATTCATCTGTCAAGGGATACTTGGGTTGCTTACCCATTTTGGCTATTGTGAATAATGCTGCTACGAATGTGGGTGTACAAATATCTCTTTGATATTTGCACCCTGCTTTCAGTTCTTTTGGGTTTCCACACAGAAGTGGAATTGCTGGATCATATGGTATTTCTGTTTTTAGTTTTTTGGGAAATTGCCATACCACAGCGAATGTACCATTTGGTATTTTTGCTTTGTTTTGTTTTGTTTGGCCACACAGTGTGGCATGCAGGATCTTAGTTCCCCGACCAGGGATTGAACCCGTGCCCCTACTTTGGGAGCACAGAGTCTTAACCACTGGACCACCAAGGAAGTCCCAGTTTTCTGGGTTTTTTGGTAGTAGCCGTTCTAATGGGTATGAGATGGTATCTCATTGTGGTTTTGATTTGCATTTCCCTAATGATTAGTGATATTGAGCATCTTTTCATGTACTTTTTAGTCATCTGTATATCTTCTTTGGAGAGATGTCTATTAAAGTCCCTTGCTCTTTTTTTTTTTTTTTTTTGTTTTTTTTTTTTTTTTTTTTTGGCTGCCTCGGGTTTTTGTTGGAGCCCGGGGAATTTTTTTTTTTTTTTTAGTTGCGGCATGTGAAATCATTTTTTTTTTTTTTTTTAGTTGCAGCATGCGAACTCTTAGTTGCGACATGTGGGATCTAGTTCCCTGACCAGGGATTGAACCCGGGCCCTCTGCATTGGGAGCATGGAGTCTTAGCCACTGGACTACCAGGGAAGTCCCCCTTGCCCATTTTTTAATTGGGTTGTTTATTTTTTTGTTGCTCTCACATATTTTGTATATTGACCTCTACTGGATATATGACCCCAAAATATCTTTTTATAATTGATGTGTTTGAACCAGGATACAACAAAGTCACACTATATTCGTATATTTTATTGTCTAATCTGGAGGAAATCCCTGTCCCTGTTTCTTTCCCTTGCCCTTCACTTGTGGCAGAATCCAAGTCCATTGTCATGTAGATTTGTAATTTTGTATTTTACCTTTGCTGCTGCCCTCCAAAATTTCCTGCTTTTGCCTTGGATAATTTCATCAGTGAATTTTCCCTTTAGGAAAAAGGACTTCTCTATCAAAAGTTCCTAGGGGACTAAAACAAAAATGAGAAGAGGAAGCTTTCTCAGTATCTGGGAACCTACCTTTGGGGAGGTGGGCACTGGAGGAAGGTGAGAGGGTTGTGAGGATTAGATGGCGTTGAGCTGAGCGCTTTCAGGTCACCATCTTGATCTGAGAGAACAGGGGCTTTCCCCATGACATGACTGGTGTTGCCCAGAGAGCCCTCTCCATGACCAGGAGCAGACCCAAAGACTGTCCCCCCAGCCATGGGGGCACAAGGCCGATCCCAGGGGCCCTGCTTGGACCACACTGAGGCTTTGTTCCCAAGGGGACACTGGAGAGGAAGGCCTGGCCTCAGGGGGACTTTCTAGGAGTCCTGAGTGTACAGAGGCAAGGCTGGGAAGCCTCCAGCATCCAGGAGGCTCAGGAGCCAGGACGTGATAACAGAGAGACCAGTAAGAGAAAAGCTGTGGTCACTGAAAATATCTGGGCACTCTAAAAGGTCACCAGAATTATCTCTGGGATTAGGATTATGGGTATATTTTTCTTCATATTTTCTAATTTTTCTCAAGTGAACAGTAAAGAAGTCGTGCATTCTATTTAAAAATAGATCGATCCTTTCAGGATTAACACAGATATGCCCAAGCATGGCCATTACTGGTTAACAACTGCGTTCTCCAGAGATCTGTGATCTGGAGTGGGGTCTCTCCAGACTCTCCTTGGAGCCTAGGAGAGCAGCCCCTCCCGCTGGCTGGGCCAGGACCCAGGAGTGTGGCACAATCCGCAGAAGACCAAGCTTGGCAGAAGCAAGCAGAGTCCCCAGCGTCGGTAGCTGAGCTGCTGTTTACAGTTCTGCCTGCAGCCCTGGTGAGGCTTGGACCCTGTGAGGAGGAGGCCCAGCCTTAAGGAAGTTCCTGGCAAACCCACTGGAACCTACCCAAGGGCCCAGTTTCATGTACCCAGGAGAGCATTATCCCAAGTTACTGCTTCCAAACTCCTTCCAGACACAAATGAAACCTGCTACTCCCAAAGTAGAGAACTCTTTATTATAAACCTAGGATACAGAAGGGGAAATTACAAACTGAGGAATTCCTCAGCTCTCTTTGAAATTCTCACAATGAATACAAACAGGTGTGAAAGATATATATTTTTTTAAGTTGTTAATTTTTTTTGTCTTTATCGAGTTTGTTACAATATTGCTTCTGTTTCATGTTTTGGTTTTTTGGCCCTGAGGCATGTGGGATCTTAGCTCCCCCACCAGGGATCGAACCCACACCCTCTGCACTGGAAGGTGAAGTCTTAACCACTGACTGCCAGGGAAGTCCCTGGAAGATACTTTCTTGAAAGAGTTTTAAAATACTTCCCAGTACCAAAGTGGGGATAGGTACCTAGTAGCTAAGTGCTTCATCAAGATCATGCAGAGAGGGGCCTCCAGTCCCTCTTGAGACCCTGAGGGAAGGTACTTGGTTTGCCCCAGCCCTTGCTGGAAGTGGAGCAGAGAAGGCATACATTTGCTATTAGATTTAGGGTCCTGGGTCCTATCCTGGCACAGAGACCTGAGACCATGACATTTTCTCCTTGAAGGAGAGCTTAAGGGAAACCAACGTACAAATCCCCCAAGGAGGGAAAAACAGCTGTCACAGCTAACTTGTTCTGTGAGTTCATGCAGCTCTTTCCTCGCTCTGTGCTTCACTGAAGGCGTAAATGCTGGCATAATGGGTCCTTTCCAGAGTCTGGTTCCAATGAAGAGGGAAACAAAAAGAATACAAGATTGTTCCATCTTAGTCCAGGGTTAGGCCCCCTTTGTGGTGGGACTGTCCCACCCAGCTGTTCCTGGCAGCTATATCCAGGGAAATGTGTGCAGGAAGATGCCTGTATGTGTGTGCATGAGGGGGCCTGTGCACGTATATATGTGTCTCTGTGTGTGAGCTTGTATGTGTCCATGTGCCTACAAGCTTTGGGGCAAGAGGCTCTTGTGTGGTCACTGTTTGTAAACTAGTCCCAGCAAACAACTCTGTAAGGCAATTAAGTACAGAAGATTGGTGGGAAAGTTCTCTCTGGGTGGCCCAGGGAGGAAGGCTTCCTGCTCACACCACCATGGTGACCTAGCTCCAGAACCCAAACTTGATGGAGATGCCAGAGGATGGGATCCCATCTCATGCAGGGCAGAGCTGAGAGCAGGACCACAGGCACTCAATAGGTGGAAGTGAAAAGCAGCCCCAGACGCTCAGGCCAGTCTCTTGGGGACTTATCACAGGGAAGGTGTGCAGAGGCTGGGAGGAGTCAAAGAGGCAGGTGAGAGGTGGACCCTTGGGGAATCAGGCTCAATGTAGGACCTCCCTATGCTAGGCCAGGCTGCTTCCCCATCTGTCCCCTGGGGCAGTGGGATGTGAGGTGGGGCAACAGGGCCCCAAAGCATCCGTAGGCACCATCGTGGAAGCAGCTGCCCCAGCAGTGCCATGGTCCCAGCAGTGGCCAGCACGTTGCCCAGGCAGCTAGCTCTCTCTCAGGCAAGATTTGTCTCCTGTCCCCAGGAGACTCAGAACAGTGCTTCACCATTTCCCACAATCATTCGAACACAGCTACTGCCTGTTCTCCTCACCCTACTTAGTTCTCAGGTGGAGAAACTGAGGCCTAAGATGTGTGGATGGCTCAGAGCTGGCACTTCTGGTCTTCCTCTTAGTCCCGGCTGGCTCTCGTTTTTACTGTCCTGGCTGATAACAGCAAGTGGGTGTGCCACTTGCAGCCACATGTTCTATGCAGGACATGAGATGTGATGTCCAGATATGTACAATGGCTGCAGCTGTGTCTTTGGAGTTGGCATGTCCAGGAATCAAGAGGCCAGTGGAGCACAGATTCCCCGTACAACTGCAGGTGGAGGCAGGGGTAGAAGTACATGTACAGGCAGATAGATGCACACATACCCAGGGACTCAGGGCAGTTCAGGGCAGGGACAGGGCCTTGGCAAGGCGAGTCCAGAACCAGGACTTGGTGCAGGGGTTGGTGTAGTCGCAGACAGTGATGAACCGCAGGATGCTGGGGAACTCTTTCTTCATTGACTTGTACTTGATGGGGATCAGTCGCTTATGATGGGCACCTGCAAGCCAAAGGTACAGAGCTGGCACCAGGCTCTCACAGTGGGGTGGGACCAATCCTCAGTCCAGGGGTTAACAACATCCCTCTCCCAACTAAGCACCCCTGGTACATATTCACCCACACAAAGGGCACTCATGTGCATGCACACTTATGTGTAGAGACCTGCCCAAGTTCCTTGATGCTCTATCTGTGGCCCTTGGTGAGGGAAGGCTGGCATCTTGAGGCCCCGCCCACTTCTCTGTGGCAAAGGCAGGGCTAAGCTTACCAGGAGAGAGGCTGAGTGCAAACTTAGTCTGGAAGTCACATTCCTTGCTTTGCAAGTAATCATCAGAGACAACCACCACCATCCGACGGCACCTAAGGGAGAGTGGGCAGGCTATAGGCACCGTGGTGACCTAGTTCAGCATACCCCCAGGGGACAGCCTTGGGAGGAGCCCACTGTGCCCAGGCTAGACAGCGTCCAAATGGGAGGATCCCAGCATCGGGATCCCTGGCAGGGCTTTGTACAACCACCCACTTGCCCCCTGGCCACCTAGCCAACCTCTTTTCAATGAGTTCACTGGCAATGGACCAGACGCAGGTGCCAGGCAGGACGTCGCGGTCAGATACACACAACTTCAGCCGATGGTTTGTCTGTTCCAGCTCCTGGATCATCACCTGTACAAACTGGATATCGCTGGGGCAGTAGCAGATGAAGGCATCAAAACGCTCAGGCATTTGCCCTGGGTGCAGAGCACAAGGGTGATGGTCAGAGCCCTACAGGAAGGCTGGGGAGGAGCCCAGCCAGGTGCCCCCAGCCTAAGCGACCGTGATCCTGGACCCTACACAATCCTGAGATGACACTACTCAGAGAAAGTGCCTTTCCCAGGAGCGGAAAGATGAGCACCTTCTTACCACCCCAGGCCAAACCCTAAGTTGACCATGAGATAGACACATCATCTCATGAAAATCTCATACCAAAACCAGAGGTAGGACTTCATTATTCCCATTTCTTAGGAAACTGAAGCTCAGAGAGATTAAGTGACTTGCCCAAGGTGCCACAGTCCATCTGCGTTCAACATCCATGCTTTTAACACCACAATGTCCTATGGCCCAGGGGGGCAGTACTGGGCCCTTACCCAGGGGGTCATCGCAAATGGTGATGCCCGCCGGATCTCTCGTCCGAGGAATGCTGCTGTCTACAGAGTCCACCTGTAAAGGCTTCTCAGATGCCTCCTGCTGCTGCTTCAGAATATACTTTTGGCAATCCTCCTCTGTGGGGAAGAGACAAGGTGTGGCCAGCTCCCCGCAGGTACCCCACGCCTCTACCCACGGTCAGGATCCAGCCCCTGTCCCACCTCCCTGGCTGTGTTGTCCTCCAGGGCTTCTCTAGCCCAGTGGTGCCATCCACAGTTCAACAGCTCTGAAAAGATGAGCTTCCACCTGGCTCTGGTCATCCTAAAGAGACGTCAGTGGTGTTCTGGCCATGAGGGAAGCCATCCAGGTCAGGCTTGTGTCTCTATCCCATTGCCCTCCACTCCCCCACCCCCCACCCCGGGCTCCGGGCTCCTGAGAATAGAATCCAAGGTATGCTTCTTCTAGGATCCACGGCTGATGTGAGCAGGGCATGTAAGAAGAGCTCAGGAGACCTGGTGATTATGTGCAGCGAGGGCAGCAGCCCCAACCAAGTGGGCCACTGTCCCCATGCCTGTGCAGGTATGGGTCAGCAAGTGGCAGGAAGGGGTGCATTTTCCAGGGATCTGAAGTTTCCAAAGACTGTCAGCTTTCAGTCCCTTACTTGCCTGTTGCTCTACATACTTGAAGCAATTCCAAGCCCCCCACAGAGGACCCCTATTCTGACTCCTGGTCCTATGTGAAAGCCTTTGTCTAAGCTGTTTCCTTGTGCCTTTCCCGGCCTTCGCCTTCTTTCTCTAGTCCCTATCATCCCACGTATGGAAAGAGTCTTGCACGGTTCCTCCTCTGCAGGCTGCCTCCCGTGTCCCCCTTGCCACCCCAAAACTACTCCCTCCCCCTGCTCTCCCCGCCTCCAAGACAGGAAAGGCGGGACGGATGCTGAGGTCAGCCCCCTCATCCCCACCCCCACCTCGGATATGAGGCCCGGAAGGGGGCGTCCTCACCGATACTGGGTCCCAGTTCCATCAGCAAGTCGTCGCGGCCCAGCTTGCCGAGGAGCTCGAGCAGGCGGCCCACCGAAGCGCCGGGTCGTCCCTGCCAGTCGTCCAGCAGGCTGCCCGTGGGGTCGGCATGCGTCTCCAGCCGCCGGATCTCCAAGTACTCGAAGCCCATCTCCTCCGCCAGCGCGGTCCAGTCGGCCGCCACATGCGCCCGCAAGTTTAGGAAGAGCGACAGGCGGCGCCGCACTCGCACGTTGAGCGCTGCCAGGGGCAGGGAGGACATGGAAGGGGTGGGGGGCGCGGAGCCCGCGTCCGGACCTCCTTCAGCCATGGCGGGCCGTCATGCAGAGGCGCGTCGTGGGTCTGTGCTTCCTCCTTACCCTACCGCCGCCCCGCCCCGCCCCGCCCCGCCCCGCCGGTTTCTCTTTCGAAGCGACGCCCCGCCCAACAATCTGGAGCCCCAGTAGATGTGCGGAAGTGGGGGGCGCCCCACCCCTGCCCTCGGGATCTCAGGGGACTGGGGGTGTGGGGACCGGGAACGTACCTTTTAAGGTCTATGGAGCTCCACCTATCTGTCCAGGAGGGTCTGGTGCGGCAGTGGGACGATGACCTTCCTTCCGGGGTTATAGGAAAGAGGTGACTTGCTCTTTGGCATCTGGTGGACTTAACATCCTTTCCATTAGGGATCTGAGGGGTTCATACGGTCCTGCCCTCGAGGATGGCGGGGAAGGGGCAAGGGGGCAGGCATCGGTTCTGCCTCCACACACACCCCCACCCTAATTCTGGTAGAGCACACAGTCCTGCCCTTAGGAGTATGGGGAATCCCTGGCTGTACACCCAGAGTTGGAGGTGGAAAAGGGCATATTGCCTTCTGGAACCAGAGGCATGCCGCGGCCCTGCCCTTGAAAAGTGGGGGGCACGACCCCACGCTCTGTGTTTGAGGGTAACAGGACACCCTGGCCTTCCTGTCTGAGAGAAACCCAGTACTACCCTCTGGGGTCTAGGGAAAACATTACCATTGGGAGTCAAGCGGGCACCCGGCCTTGCTTTTTAGGGGGCAGGGGACATCGTCCTGACCTGGGGAGCTTTGGTTCATTCATTCATTCAGTAGGTATTTATTGATCACCTATTAAGTGTCAAGCATGTTGCAGGCATCCTGGATACAGAGTCCTTCTCTGACTTGGCGGAAACCCCAGCCTAGCGGGGGAGGTGGGCACTAATCAAATCATCCCAAATGACTGTAAAATTGTTTTTTTTTTTAAAAAGTATGATACTCTTTCTCCAGATAGGGGGCTTGTCACATCTCCGGCACATTTGTACAATCCGTTCTCCTGCCACCCCAGAATCCCAAATTCCCTCAGTCTTCTCGAAAGACTTCCTAGGAGAGCCCAAGCTTGTCGGGGTAGGCTCTGGGGCATCTCGGAATTATTTAGGTCCCCCAGCTTGGGGGAGACAGCAGAGAAGGATAGGCAGGGGGAAAGAGGAATTATAGTCGCTGGCCCCTCTTTCCCGGCAAGAAGCTGTAGGCGGCGCTCCTGACGAACCTGCCTTCTGTTTGGTGGCGGGCAGAGGGCAGAGTTGTAGGGGAAGGGACCCCTGGCAATGGTGAAATTTGCTTCAAGATACCAATGGGGCTCTTGGAGACCCGCCTCGGGTTTGGCAGTAGGCGTGGCTGCAAGTAGAAAGGTTTTCCGTCTGTATTTCTAGGCGGAGCTTCAGAAAAGCCCACCTCCTGGTTGGCAGCCCCCTGAGGCTACTGTAGGCGGGGCTTTGAGTGGAAAGACCCTCTTGGGTTCAACTTTAGGAGGTTCCGTTTGCGGCTAGGGGCGGGACCTCAGGCAGACTCGCCTTCTGGTTGTCTGAGGCGGGGAGGTAGGCGGGACCTTAGAGGGAAGGGCCAGTCAGACCCGCAGGGTTGTGGGGGGGGCTTAGGATAGAGGAAGCGGGTGGTCAGAGGTACGGTTCAGCGCGTGCGCGGGCGTTGGTCTGTTGGTTGCTGCTCTCTGCTGCTGGCTGGTTGGGGCTTTCCCCTGCCGAGCTACGCGATGCGGAGGCTGCAGGTGGTGCTGGGTCACCTGAACCGCCAGCCCGCTTCGGGCCAGGAGCCGGCGCCGCGGGCTGCGCCATGTTGGAGCGGCGCTCCGCGGAAGTCGGCGGAGGATGTAGTGGTGGTGCACGGGCGGCGCACGGCCATTGGCCGGTCGGGCCGCGGCGGCTTCAAGGTGAGGCCCCTGGGCTCGGGCGCCGGGTGTGAGATGGCGGCCCGGGGCGGGCTGGCGTCTGGCTCCTCTGTTCGGAAACCCTCGGCGTCGGTGGTGGCTCCGCGCCCGAGTTGGACCGCCCTGTCTCTCTGGGGTGGGGCTGGGGGAGCTGGGATTTTGGGAACCCCGAGCATCGCCGCCAGCCGCGCGCTTCCCGCTGCAGGACACCAGCCCCGACGAGCTTCTCTCCGCCGTCATGACCGCGGTTCTCCAGGACGTCAAGCTGAGCCCGGCCCAGCTGGGAGATATCTGCGTGGGTGAGTGCACTACCCGGGCCCTGCGCTCGGTTCTCGCCTTCCCATACGCCGAAGCCCTCCTCAAACACCAGGCACTTTCCAGGTGTTTTCCCTGAGGGGAATGGCGATGGACTTCACGCAGCTGACTGTAATCGTCCCTTTCGGGCTATAGACTCCACCCCCCCACCCCCGCCTCCAGGCATTTTCTGTGCCCGCTCCAAGCACATTCTGCATATTAAGTGTGATAGAAAGCAGGGATCTCTAGTGACAGACATTTCAACGCCAGGGTCTTGGCACAGGAGTTTGAGAACATCCTAAGAGACTGGAGGCTAGGGTTCTCTCCCCATCCTGACGTACTATCTATGCCAGGGTAGAACAGAGGGGGTTTGGAGCATCAAAACCCATCTAGTCCAGCCCCGCACTTACAGATGGAGAAACTGAGGCAGATGGAGAAACTGAGGCCTGGGGAATTTGCAGCAGAGCTTGGACCTGAATCCAGGACCTCTTGACCTGCAGTCCAACCCTTTTTCTCCAACTCTGCTCCTCTAGCCTGGAAACATAACATTATATGGTAAGAGTCACGTCACGTAAGTGTCAGCCCTAGATGGGGGATCACTGTTCCACCCCTGGAGTGCCAGCAGGGCTTGGTGGAGGACACTTAGGGGAAGGTGTGCATTTCAAAAACACTTTCCTAACTGACAGAACTACTTTTTCAGACTTAAAGCTTTGCACTACATTCTTCTTTCCACGTTACCTTTTAAAGGCAGGCGACCTCCCCAGTGTGTGTTGATTTGGTAAAGCAGGTTGCATGGGTAAGGGAGCTTGGGCCTCTCAGGGACTGGATCTAGTGTGTGGCCAGGACAAGCTGCTGTATAGCTGGCTGCCCCTGCTCCAGACCTTGAAATTCCACTGTTTCTGAAGGAAGATCTGGAATGCCCCCCTCTTGGTAATCACAGCTGTACCTTAGTGCCTGGCACTGAATAAAGGTTTGTTGTCCACAGGAAATGTGCTTCAGCCTGGGGCCGGAGCATTAATGGCCCGAATTGCCCAGTTTCTGAGGTAAACTTTTCCAGTTCTTGCCCTGGGTTGGCTATTCACGCTCTTGCTTGGGCTCAGGTCCCAGAGAACTCAGCCTGTTGGGGGGAGAAGATCGGGATTGGACACCAGACCTGGACACAGCCAGGGTCCTCAGCACCCTGCTTTTCTGGATGCTGCCTTTCCCCTACTTTGAAGGGAGGGTGTGTTTCCCAGCACTGAGCCAGGACAGACGGCCTTTGGGACTGGAGCAAAAAGTTCTTTGTGGCCTGATTTTTCTTAAGCCAAAATCAGCTTGTTGCTTGTGAACTCTGCCCTCTTGCCAAGTAAATAAGCAGGTTGGCACACTGAAGAGTGATCTTGAGCTTTTTTTTTTTTTTTTTTTTTT